CCTACGGACTCAGGGATTTGACCACTAAAACTACATCCCATAAGGATCCTGGAGAGTGAAAAAGAGTTAGTTAAAATATGTCATAAAACAAGGCGGTTAAGATGACAAGAAAAAAAAAATAGGCGGTTACAAATGGATCATGATAAAGTTTTCTTACAATTTCTTTAACTTCTTAAGGTCACCAATGTTTGGTGGAAGTGGTCCAGTCAATCCAGTATTGAATGACAAATCTCTACAAACATTGGATCATATGATTAGAATAAAATCCATTTCTATGTATAGGAGGAGGAAGAAGAAGACTTACAAGATCTCCAATTCAGACAAGGCTGAAATATACTCAGAAAGCGTTCCTTCCAAATTATGGTTGACTAGTGATCTATAACAAGAAACATATCGTTAGAACACTGCAAAGGATTTGTTGGATAATTAGGTAGGGATTATTGGGCCGGAAGAAGCCACAAAAATATTAAGAAACAAATTGTTACATTGATACGACGCGGTTATTAGTACATGTAATTCCAACCCAATTGGTTCCACAAGGATCAGAGCCTTCCCAACCTTTAGGAGACCTGGTCCATTCATTCTTTAGAGCTCTTAAAGCAGAAGCTGCACCAGTTTTAAAATGATTCAAAGATTTTAAAATTCTTATAACTGAAAAACCATGACCACCATCGTATTTACACTTACCATCCAGACTATTAGTGAGTGCAGAAACATAACACCTTTGGAAGAAAAACAAGATCAGGAGCATAGAGCTTAAGGCTCCAATACTTGAACTCATCTTCAAATCCACAAAGACCTCTTCTCACTTCCTTTGCTTTTATAGCATGTGGTCTACACAACTTATGACACATAATCGAGAAAAATTACAGCCTAGCTTTCAAAACATGTAGACAATAATGTTAACAATTAAAAAGGATTAGAAGAAGTGGACTTTGAACAAAGCTAATTATGGATTAGAAGAAGGTTCCCAATTCAAAAGAGTAATGGGAAGGAATACATATCAAGCTGTCGTGATGTGAAACCATGTGGGAAGATAAGATATAATACGATATGATTTGTTTGCCCTAATTTAATAATAATAATTCTAAACCAAAAAAATTAGATGTGATATCGCGTGTTTATTAAAAATAGTATTTCTAAATCAAACAAAATGTCAATAGTTCAACTGGTAAAAACTTTCAGGCAAACTTTAGATGTCACCGGTTGAGTGGTGTTTGGGAGGAGACCGTACAAAATGTTCTGGTCTTTGGCCTAAGAAAATGTACGGGTCTAGGCCTTGACATATGCTCTGAAATTGAGCTAATTGTTTCTCTTACGTCCACTAATCGTAACGTGCTTTTAATCTTTTCGAGAGACAAAACTGCTAAGATGACAACACATTTGTTCGTTAGTTACCTCTCTCTGTCCGAGTGGCTAGAGAAACTAAAAACCAGTGGGAATCATTTTCCTTGAGACCTTCTTTCGATGAAAGTTGACCAAAACCCAATAAATGAAGAACAAATGGAAAAGATAAAATTTGAACTAACTATCAAACAAATTAACTATTCGAGTTTCTATATAGTTTGTCCTCCTTGAGAAAGCTCACTAACCAAGTAAGATGTACAGAACATCTACATGGAAGATTCTTGTACACTTTATTATAATGACATATACAGAAGAGGCTAACAAGAATGCTAATACTACTCTTCGCTCACATAGACATTAAAGATATACTTCAAATGTTTGGTGAGAAAAAAAAAATAACCTTCATGATTGGGGTAAAGAAAAATTTCCAGCAATAATAACTAAACCCAAAACATTGCTGAAACACAAAACACGTGTTTGACTCTAGAGTGAAACCATCCACTGCATTGGAATTTGTTCAGATCAGCTTATACTCTCTACGGCCCTACCAGTTGATAGATGACATGTCACAATCCGGTAAGTTTTGCGGCTCCCAGAGCCGGCCATAAATACAAGCGGGCCAAGCCCAGGCTTGCGGCCGTATATATTTTAAATAGATTTTTCGGCCGATAAATCTTGAAGTTGTCTCTGGCTAAGTTAATTACCGCCTTTGCATAGGTGTAAGGAGTAGCGGAGTAGGAGAGGCAACTCCAACCGGACAAAAGCTTCCAAAGATTACAGCCGCCGGCAAATAACTTACCATGATAACTTACCCTCATCGTCTGCATGGGAGGATGGTACGATAGGAGAGTCGACTATTCGTTATGCTTCAAGTCTCGTTTTGAGACAAGAAAGTGGACCTTAATTTCTTCTATGGGCTTTATTAAAATCTGGTTCAATTTGGTTCCAGTGTATCACAAAGTAAATGTTAGTCCCAAAAAATAAAAGGTCATCTTAAGCGGGCCTAAGTCCCATCTAAAATTGAGATAAGATCATTTGTGGTTGAAGAAGGCACACATGACTCAAATTAGATGTGGAAACCGAAACAACATAATGTTACTTTCGTTATATTCTATTTGTTCTAAACTTCTGATTGAGTGATTTAGCTGTCGAACAACCATCGCAATCGTCATTATAATCTTCTTATCTATACTGATCAGCAGGCTCAAAAAAATTAAGCACCCTAAACTGAAAAAAAATAATTGACCCTTATTTCCTATGTTTTTTTGTAAAAAAAAATTTTGGACCCTAATTTTAATAAATTTAGTTGAAAAAAAAAAATGGACCCTGTGCATGAGCACCTCCCGCACATGCCTAGAGCCGGGCCTGCTGATCAGTACTCTCACCTTCCCTAAAGTGTGGTTCAAATCAAAGTTTACACTCTCTATTACTCTCTTTTTTGTACACATACAACTTCATTTGATTAATTAACTACTTAAAAAAAACTGAGTACATAAGTTGTCAATTTCTTAGTGGCCTTTGTGATTGACATGTAAAATCTTAGCTAAGCGGTGCTTTTAGTTGTTGGCTCTATTTCTTAGTTCATTTGTACATATTTGGAGGAAAAACAAGATCAAAAGCTTAAAGGCTCCAATTTTCTTGAACTCATCTTTAATTCCACTAACAATTTCTTTCACTTCCTCTGCTTGTAATTGTATCACAAAATGATTTAAGAAAAAACGCATGTAGTGTACGCAAGTTAATGACACATTTCTTAATAAAAAATTACAGCCTGGCTTTCAAAACCTGTAGACAATAATGTTTATGAAAGGAGTAGACTATTTCGAATTGAAAATCAAATAAAAATTTAAGAAATAGCAATTACTGAATCATAATTTAGCGTGGGAAACGTGATACAGCTAATAATAGGATTTATAAGAAGGTTCCATGTCAAACGAATAATGGGAATTAGGAACACATATGAGCTGTCGTGATGTGAAATATATCCAGTCTGGGAACATGAGATATGATACAATAATATCTCTGAACAAAAACATAAGATATGATTTGTTTGCACAAAACTTTTCATCTGAATCAAGTACTGGCAGTCCGGTTATTGTTCCGCTCGCCGCCGCCGATGATAGATTACGACTACGGCGGCGGCGGCGGTGAAATTGCGGCTGCTTCTTCTGTTCAATAAAAAGAGAAATGGGTATTGACGGAAATCAGATTAGAAAGAGAGAAGAACGGATTTGCTTAAAAAGCAACGACGGTTTGTTTTTGCAAACTTTTGGTTTTTTTTTTCTTCGTTTGTTTTCCGGTTCGTGACAGCGTTTTGTCTCTCCAATGAAAAAAATACACTATGTTACATATTTCAATTATTTTTTGGTATTTTAGTTATTTATATAAGAATAATTGACACTTTTTGAATTTATAATTATATTTTGAGTTCGGTAAAAATTACCTAAAGTATCTTAAAATATTCAAAATTATCTGAATTATTCGAAACCTTCGTATAAAAAACCTCAAACTATTTAAAAGTATCCGATAACTATTCAAACTATTCAAAATACTTAAAATTTAATGAAACACCACAAAAATAGATAAATGTCGTGAATGGGTTAGTTAGGTTTAGGTTTTTTTTTTAGTATCTGTTGGGTTCGGGGTTTTTTGAGTACCTAAAATTTCGGCTTCTAAAACCTATTTATATATTTTTGGGCTCAGATGAGATATTTCGAACCAAATTCGGTTCGGATCTTTGGATCCGGCTATTTTGTTTAGCGCTAACATGAGTGAATGATTAGATAATTAAAAATATATATTTACCATAACATAACATTAAATAAACTAAAAAAAAAAAGAATCGAAAAAAATCTGTAGCGTAGCGCGGATGATCACCTAGTATTTTATAATATAATAGTTATTATTGATTGATGAAAACTTGTAAGTCAACTCTTTTATTGAGTGCGTTTATTGAACTTTAATTAAGCTATGATTCATACAATAAACTACAAATTAATGAAACATGAGGTTTGTTTAAAAATCCAAATCATTTATTTAGGTGGTTTTATTCAATGATGGATTTTAATAGAATTGAAATCCAACACTAATCCAGTGTTATTAACCTAATTATTCTAAATCTAACTCTAATAGATTTTAAAGTTTGGTGTTATTCAACTAAGATTTAAAATGCTTCATTAAAATCTAGTGTTATTCAAAACTAAAAGACTTGTAAAATCTTTGTATATCAAATCATTTGAAATGAAACATCTTTGGATTTCATGAGTAAATTATTAGAATCATAATCCAAGATATACTGCAGAGATTTTGAACTCCATGAGTAAACCTTTAAGAATTGACTTTAACTCCATGAATGAATAACACCCCCTTAGTGAATCTTTATATATATATATATCTATTGGTCAACAATCTTTTTATATTTGATAGGTCGTCTATCATATTTTTTTTTCTTTCGTCTATTATCCATCAGTACTATGTAATTAAGAAATAAGAACGAAGAAAATACTAGGGCGTTTGTGACGAGAGCGATGACGTCACTAGTTACAGGTACCACGTGGTAACGATGCTCGCGTCCCGTCCTTAACGGCTCTGTGCTTATGGGCGATTCGCATTTCACATATAAATAGATAATTCTCGAACTGTTCTTCCTCACTGGGCACTTCTCTGTATATCGTCGGGTTCTCTCTCTCTATATATATATATATATATATATATTATCATCTCTGTTTGATTTGGCTATCTAATTCTGGGTTTTGGAATCTTTTGTTGTTTTCTTTTACATGTGTTTTCTGCTGCCTTACCTCTGTATATATGATCTTGAAACAGGAGATAATGGCTCGTTACTGCGGGGGATCTCTGATCTTGTTCTTTGTTCTTGTTCTGGTCATATTAAGCATATCGCCGAGCCAAGGCTTTCTAGGGACCGAGAAAAAGATCAAATCTCAAGTCTTTTTCTCACCAAAACTTGTGATGAATCCTGGATCAGTTGCAGATTCTTACTTATTCGACATCGATTTCCCAAGAGGGCATATCGGTCTCAAAGCTTTCGATGCTGAAGTGGTTGACGAAGCAGGCAAACCCGTCCCTCTTCACGAGACATATCTTCACCATTGGGTTGTCCAACCTTACTATGTTCGTAAAGGTTCTAAGCTTCCACAGCCAGAAATGTTTAGGAATCCGGAAAGCAATCTTGATCCTATATCAGATATTATTCTTGTGAAAAATGGAGGCTTGTGCACGAGTGTAGGACTCAGACATTTCTTTGGTTTAGGATCAGAAACCCGCCAAACCTCGACGTATCTTCCTGATCCTTACGCAATTGAAATTGGTAATCCTGAGGAAACACCTGATGGATATGATGAATTCAAATGGCTTCTTAACATTCACGCCATAGACACCAGAGGTGTGGAAGATAAGACAGGATGCATAGAATGTCTGTGTCATCTGTATAATGTTACCATTGATGATTACAAAGGAGGTTTATACTGCTGCTACGATAAGTCTCAATGTCGGGTCAAAAGCGGATTTGACAATGGGGAGAAAACAAGAAGTCTTTATTTCAAGTATACCGTGAGATGGGTTGATTGGGACAGCTCGGTTTTGCCCGCTAAGGTTTATATTCTAGATGTTACAGATTCTTGGAAAAGATCAGAGGGATCAATAGATAGCCAAGAACATATTTGCCATGTCAGTAACAACTTTCCTATCTTTTGAATGCCGTTACTTCTACTTCATAATCTCTAATAATAATATTTTTGTGTTCTTTCAGTTGGAATACGAGGTCAAACCGTGCAAAACCAATGGCGATGAATGCATTGACGTTAAGAAAAAGAGCTTAATGATGCCATTTAATGGGTATATAGTCTACGCCACAGCTCACCAGCACGCGGGTGGTATCGGTGGTGCTCTATACCGAGAGGTAACTAAGACTAATCCTTTAGTTTAGGCTACTTTAAAACGAAAAGATTGAAACTTTTTAACTGAATTTGTGACTCTTGTGTTGTGGATCAGAACGGTGAAGGAATATGCACTTCGATGCCCAAGTATGGCAATGGAGATGAACCTGGAAACGAAGCTGGTTACATTGTTGGAATGTCGTCTTGTTATCCTGCTGATCCAGTGAAAGTGAGCTATGGAGAGACATTGAAGTTGGAGTTTAATTACAGTAATGAAGTTGGTCATACTGGAGTTATGGGACTCTTTTATATTTTCGTTGCTCAGCAGCTGCCTGAACCAAACAACTCCTTGCCTAAACTTTTTGAGGTAACGACCCGGTACTAGAACTCGGTTAAGGTCACACCGGTTTCGATACATATACGGTTTAGGAGATATTGCCATGTGATTAATTTTACTCACGCTTGTATTTCTCACTTCCTTGTAGGTACCTGCGAGAAGCTTGAGCTTCTTAGCCATTTTGGCAGTGACAGTGGTGGTGGCTTTTGTTGTTCTAATAGCCGCCGTGATATACCGAAGACAGAACCAGGAAGATGGTTACCAATCACTTAGTACTTAAAAAAAGAGCAAAAACCATGTCGACTATATATATTTCTTCGAAGTTCATTTTGATAAAAGAATATCTTCTTGTCATCTTCCTCTAATGTGATATCTCTGTAACTGTTGCTGTTGCGTGTAAGAAGAACTTTGTTTTCTCAAATACATCACATTCACATGATACGCAGTGGTCTACAAAGTTATAACTAATATTATATATTATATTCGTTTTCTTGGTTCCAAATTCTTCCATACTTGCACGATTGATTACAGATATTTAATTTAACCTCTGTAACATATGAATTATTTGATCTCTATATCATATGATTATATGAATTACTCTACATCCAAATTTGTGGGTGTTTCACTGGATGAGTGTGAAATTGAAAAACTCTTTTGACAACAAATTACAAAGATTATAGATGAATTCACTTATACAAACGATGTATATTAACTCAAATTTCTGATTAGTGGCCTCAAATATCGCGTTTTAACAGCATATAAGACTATCAAAATGAAAATTATGCATATTCATAAATTAAAAACTTACAAAAAATTTTGGTTATTTTAATAACGTATTTATAACACTATAGTTTAAAAGGACAAAACAACTGTTTTATACTAGAGGTTGAGGAGGGACTTGGGTGCTAGGGGGGTCAGCTGATCCCTATAAATTTTAAAGAATCTATTACATGTTCTTAACAATAAGTATGCTGACACTAGTGTAAAATAAGGGCATATGCAAGGGTGCATCTTTGAAGTTTGATCTTAAGGGGAAAAAAATATTAAAATATTGTAAGAGCTTTAATTAAGATCTTTTGTAAAGTAATTGATTATTGGTAAAACATGTTTAGATCATATGAATTAATAATTTAATAATCAAAAACTTTAAATGTTTTTTAAAAATTTAAAAAATTATTTTCAAAATTGAAAACATTAAAAACTAAACTTATATTAAAATTGATTTGAAAATAAAAAGAAACACAAAATACAAATGAAAAACATTAAAGATATAAATGAAAAACATAAAAACAAACAAACATATTAATTAAAGGTTACAAACATTTTATTTAATTAATACAAAGTTAAAAAACTTATTAATTAAAGAAAAACGTAACCAATCAGACTTCGCCACGTCACCACAAGAACAGACTTAAAACTGTTCTAGCCCAAGAACTAAACTCATGTTCTAAAGCCTGTTCTCAAAAATTATATTCATTTAAATATTTAAGACCACCCCAAAAGATGGCCCGATAAATGTGGTCTAAGAACATGTAATAAATTATTTGGATCCAAGTACATGAAACACTAAAAGCCCAAATAGGTGAAAGTTGGGGTTCGGTTAGAATCTTAAACCCAATTTCTAATGTAACAAATCAACAATTCCTAACAATATCATTATTTATGTACAATGAATATTATCATTTCTATATTTAATTATTTTTAATCCCTATAAAAAAATTTCTAGCTCCGTCACTGTTTTATACAATAAAAGATAGAAACAAGCTCTAACAAAATTCAATATTTTAGAAAAATAAAATTCAATATTTTAGAAAAATATTAAAACCATACATTAGTATATTATCTATATATATTTATATGATTATTAGTTTATGATATTAATGAGATCATATAATTACATTGAATTCTAAAAAATTATAATCTTATTATCTTATCGAATTTGGTTAATTTTTACGCTAGTCCAACTCGTGACTGGAATTTTATATTATTTTATCGTATTTTTTAGTCTATACAAGTAATTTTGAAGTACATTTTTAGCCAGTGGGTTAAATTGTTTTCAGAAACAAATGGTATCCGGTCCGATAAGATATTTTCTTCATAAAAATTTAATTGGATTGGATAATATTTAACCCAACTCTTGCAGCGGTATTTGCTTAAAAGTCAGATACAAATATTACCAAATTTATATCGTATCCACTAATTAAGTTTCAATATTTAATAATAAAGATATTTAGAAGATATGGTTCTAAATAAATTTATGATTCTCTTTTCATCTTTGTTTGTTTATTTTTAAATGTTTTGAATTATCATATTATATGATCTTGAAGCCATTCTCTAATAAAAGCCAGTCGATTCAAATTTATGAACCTCATTCCATGGAGGTAAAATTGTGAATCACTCATGATTATATCTGGGGGAGCCTCTAAGCACCACGGGGGTTAGTAGAAACTATTACTAAAGAGAAGAAAAATGAGAAAATGGCGGAAGCTGAAAAAACTGTTATTTTTTTGCTCTAGTACCATATTAAAAATAGAAGAAATAATTTGTTTTTTCTCATTAATCTTAAAGTGGATATACATGTGGGTATATATAGTATATGTATTAAACTGTATAGTATTTGTATCTAATTGTACAAGTATTGTAAACTATATCTGTATTAAACTATATAAGTATTTCTATACTTTAATCTAATAGAAACTTATATTTGCAATAGCTGGAAATTCTATCGAAACACAGAAAACCTAATAAGCAGCAAATTAAACGAATCTTAAAACACAAACTAAACACAGAAAATCTTAGTGTCATTATATTTTCACGATATCTTAAAAGATAACTGTACGTGATTTAGGTTGAAGTCTTTTGTTTTGCGGTGTGAGACAGGAAAGACAGCTAGAGGAAGCTTACAGCCGTTTATCATCTTAGCTTTCATTAGTTTATTTAGCTTTCATTTATCGCATTCATTTAGTTTCATTGCATTAGTCATTAGGAAACCCAAAACCAAAACCCCAACATTTAGTTTTGTATTAGCTAGATCTTCTTGTTTAAATTCAATACCCGTAGCTACACTCTCTGTAGGATCAATCCTAAAATACTATTCTGATTACTGTGCATTTGCAGTTTAACGTATGGTCTTTCAGGTAAAAGATTCAAGTGAACTTTCACACGCTATCAAACACCATTAGGGTAATTCATAATATAAATCAAATTTCAAAAATCTTATTAGTCATAACCGAAACAAGGGTTTAAATATTTTCTGATAATTTCAATATCTTCTATTTCTTATATTTATATATTTATTTTATTAATTATTTATTTTTATTTCTGAAATTTCACACGAGTTCTTGTAACTCTCTCTTGTCCTAGCTTAGTCTAAATCTTTGCAAATTTATTGGGTGTTTCTTTGATCTCTGTGAATTCGATCATAAATACTATTGCGTTTGCCTGTGCAATTGCGGCCATTATTAAACGTAAAAAGTTTGCGAGTAATCTTATCTATAATAAATATTAAAAATCTTCTATTAAATTTGGATTCGATTTTCAGAAAAGACAATTTTTTACAAATTATTAATATAAATTAAAATTTTTAGAGTGTTGCATACATAACATCTATCGTAATTTTGTATATTTCGAAAAAAGCATGTTCATCATATTTTGTATATGTAAATCCGTCTATCGAGTGTTGTAGGACTTTATCATGAAATTGTTATCTTTAAAAATTATTTATCGTAATCAGATATGTTATGTATAATCTATCAAAGATCATTCTAGAATCAATCAAGCATCTGTCAAGGATCAATCACTCATCCATTTATGTCATGAATATATTCTGTAATTAGAATTCTCTAGAACATTGTCTCTGTATATAATCCTTGTAAAACATATCAATACAATCATCCAATTCACAAACATCTTCTGTATATGGTATCAGAGCTCTTACGATACCTAGAAACCTAAAAATTCTACGCAGCCGTCTGCCTCTTCTTTATTTTTCTTTCTCACTGTTTCTCTTCACTCACACAGATCTCTTTACTCTGTTTCTCATATTCTCCAATTATGTCTAATGCATCTTTTGAAACCATCAATCTCAACGGCACCTCCCTCGTTCACATCAACATGTCCAATGTATCGAAGCTCGCCGCTTCCAATTACATCATGTGGAGCTGTCAAATCTATGCTCTTCTTCATGGATATGGCCTTTCCAATTATCTCGATGCCTCCACCAGATCTCCAGATCGACAAATCACTGTCAATAACGTAGCCTCCCCAAATCCTGCCTTGGAAGCCTGGAACAGACAAGATCAATTGATCTCTAGTGCTTTTATCGGTGCTCTGTCTCTCACGGTGCAATCGACAGTGTCGCGTGCCAACACATCTGCTTAGGATTGGACTACGCTTGCTGATACCTACGCTAAGCCAAGTCGTGGCCATATCAAACAGCTTCAACATCAAGTCAAGCAATTGAAGAAAGATACCCGAACCATTAATAAGTATGTTCAGGGTTTATCCAATCATTTTGATCAGTTGGCTCTACTTGGAAAAATTATTGATCATGAGGATCAAATTGGTTACATCCTTGGAGATATACCAGAAGATTACAAATCCATAGTTAATCAGATAGAAGGCAGTGACGTTGCACCTAGTCTTACCGAGATTCATGAGAAGGTGCTCAACCATGAAGCCAAACTCCTCACCACTCCTGCGTTTGCAACGTTTCCCATCACATCGAACTACGTCAATAACCGGAATCAAAACCGGTCCACCTCTAAGTACAACCAGAACCAGACTCAACCGTGGAAGTCACAACTTGCTCGTGGGCAAGACACACGCACCTCCCGACCATATCTTGGTAAGTGCCAAATTTGTGACTTATTATCCCACTTTGGACATTCGTATTGAAAATGGCCAAGCTTATGACATTTGAAACACTCGTTGAGGGATCTTCCTCCTATACCTCTTCCTCTTCCTTGCCACATTCTTCTTCTTTGATACAAGACTCGGTGGTGATATTTGTATGAGATAGAGATAGATGGCTTCACAAACTGGTGGTCGCTCTCTTTTGTGAAGGATTGATGGTCGATGATGTAGATCTGACACGATGGCGGTCGCTTCTCTCGTGTGGGATCGAAATAGAGGAAAGTGTTGGCGGATTGAAGTACACCAGAGAGATGTGATTGGTCTCTGATACAGTACACGAACTCAGCCTTGGTGAATCACACATACAAGAAAAAGATCAAGCTTATTCTCTCAAGAACACTCAAAGAGAAGAAGTAAGAAAATGCGGCTTCTTTATTGATAATCAAGGGTAAAAATTGTACAACTACTGCATGGGGACTTTATAAGCTAGCCTTATGGCCGAAATAAAATGCAAAACTGTAACAAGGAAACAAATAAAAGCAAAACACAAAAACCATTGTTTTTAGAAAAAAAATAAACTACTTA